TCGCGAAAATTGTACTTTTTGCTCTGTATGCGGTAAAAATGTTTCATATTATGTCAGCATATTAATTCAAATACATTCGTCTTTACTTCAAAAATAATAAATAAAGTCATATTTCAGCAGTAAAATAATTGCTAACATGTAATTTGCATTGTTTCGGAAATATGATTTTTTTTAAATATGTAAAATGCATAACTTAATAACTTACTTTATAGATTTGTTTCATTTTTAAATATTTTCCTATAATATTTATAAAAAAATATTTTAAGTATTATTTATTTTAGCAAAATTTTAACAATAATTCAGCGTGTATTTTTTAGTACTAATTAAATTTAATAATTCAAGTATTTATATTAAATTTACATTTCATTAGATGAATCTGCCTTAGATTAATATATTTAGATGAAATAAAGTAACGAAACGTTGCAAAATAAATCTTATGTGGATTTCAGATTCTTGAAAGGGCAGATTTAGTCTCTTTTCATTCTAAAAGTAACGCTGATGAACTATGAAAAAGATGCTAAAACGACCACGTCTAAAAGCGGTCATATCATGACGTTTCAGCGACGTTTCGGCAAATTGCTAAGATGCAAAGGCAAATATTTTGCGTCTTCGCAACGTTGTAAAGACGTTGTAAAAGTGCAAAGTGGTCGTAAACCACGACCACTCGGACCAGTTTGCAAAGTCGTTAAGACGTTGCCGTGCTACTTGGGTACATTTATTCAATTACAATACCTATTATACAGAGACCGGACCAAACTGTCCCCAAATTTGGTGACTTTGGTCTATTTCTCGCCGAATTTGGCCACTAAATAAGTCGCCAAAGCAGTTGCCAGCTTGATGATATCTCGCCAATTTACCGAGATACCCAATTACTCAATGTTAATGTTACTTGCTCCTGTATTCTTGCGTTTCCGGCATAGCTTATTTTTTAAGATTTTTTGCGTTACATTACACAGAAAAATACAAGTTTCACATATATAACTGCACTAAAATCATCTATCTATGTACAAAATTCGTGACAATATAATATATCAGCGAATATGGTAAGTACATCTCCTGACATCAGTTGCTTTACTAAGCACTTCTAGTTAGCGTCTTAGCTGTATGTAGGGCTATATAAAAATTCAGCTAGTGAGTAATTAAAACGCTCAAGCTATAACTACTAAAACTGTTTACCGAAATGTGTACGTTACAGAAACATAGCTAAGACTTAAAAATATGTTGCGTCTAGCAAGTAAACAACTTAGGCAAAATTTCAATATAATAAAATATGATACATTTGATATGAGCGAGTGGAATCAGACTAGCTTAGCTAGTTATTATAACTTCAGAAATTATCCGGTTATTATCGATAACCACAGCAGCAATTTAGTATAATACAAGTTAAAATCGCACAGCTTTTAATTGCTACTAACTCGTAGTATTCATTTTTATCCTTAATCTTCTTTTTTCGCATTACTTCATCTATTCTGCCTGGAATAAGCTCTTACGAATAGAGCTCAGAAGAGACAGGACGGAATCTAAATTAGAAGTAACTCATTAAAAATTTTAAATAAATTTTATGAAGAAATAAAAAAATTGTAAAAGAAAAAACATTTTCCTTACAACCTTTTAAAGTAATAAAAAAATAAAGCATTTTCCTTGCAACTTTTTAAAAATAAAAAAAAGCATTTTCTTTACAATTTTTCAGAGTAAAAAATACTACTTGTTCGCAAAGATCAATTTTTTAAACTCCCGTATGCAATTTTTAAGGCATATCTTCGATCGCTTCCAAGGCAATCTATTCATCGCACCGTTCTACTTCATTAAAACTGTCATTTCGAGCTTCGCGCTTCCTCAAGAAAAGGAACTGCACTCATTCATGATAGAAATGACTTCTAACATTCTGGCTATTTCAGGCAGGGAATATTTTCAGCATTTAACATAACTGTCGATCTTCATACATCTTGATCGTTATTTGAGTTTTGAAACTTTTCCATGTTTGAATACCTTACAAGCAATTATAACGATCTTATTATTCTTACAGAATCTTTAATTATTATATTAATACGTCTGTCTATCGAAAACACATCCCATTTCATTAATATTTCCTATCGCTGCCAGGCATTTGTGGAACCACTCTGCAATAATTACATATGCCAAAGAATTCAAATATGTTATTCAATATACGAACAATAATCCAAATTTACTCAAAAGTTTTTACTCTACGACTCGTAGAGTTACTAACTCTACGACTCGTAGAGTTAGTTCTCTGAATAAAACTATTTACTTTTGCGTAAACTTTCTACGTAATGTGTATATCATGCTCAAATGTTTTATATGCTTTTTTTAACCTCATTCATGGCGTTTGTCGCTATGGCAAAAAATTCGTCAACGTTTTAAAACTACGTGTGTTTTCTGATAAACCTAATTCTGTACTCACGCTATTTGTGGTTAACAGCACAGTGCTGGAAGGGAATTTTTCAAAATTCAATTTAGATTTTTTCAGTTGAATGTTGAGAAGAATTTCCAGGCATATCTTGGTTTAATGTCTTATAGAAATTTACCTTCGGACGAAGCGTAGAAAATTATTTCACATGAAATCTGTACAAAACTTTTAACGTCATTTTTTTAGTTTTGAGCGAATTTTCCACTGTTTGAACTGCGTAATTTTAAAATCTCAACAACCAAAAGCATATCGGCTTTGAAATTTTCACATATCATTTAACAAATTCTTCGTCTTCTTTTAAAACAAGAATGATAAAATTGTATTCGTGCGATTCATATTATCGCATATTAAAAAATTATTCATATTAATATTATCGCATATTAAAATATATGCGATAATATGAAACAGAACAGGAATATCGGTTCATTCTTGGGTATCGCTTGAAAACATAGTTCCGAGGTTATAATGCCATTATGTCACACAATTTGTCTTGCTTCCGGATAAATTTCTCTAAAATTGATTTTATTCATTGTTTTTTCTATCTCATATCCCTTGTTGTAAAGAATAACTTGTAAAAAAATTAACTTACTACAGAAATCTTCTGCTATTTTACAGATGCTATATTTCCCTCCCCCCATTTTATAGAACGAATTTGCATTTACAATTCACTTCATCTCATTGATCTCAAGAGCAATAGGATTGATTAGCGTTTAAAATTATTTGTTGTGAAATCTACGGCATCATTTTTTATTTTTTCCTTTTCGTATGTTGATGTATATTTTTTTCATCATATGCTAAAATTGATTTTCTTAGTTTTACTGTGGTTTATAACATTATATTCATTTAGGGTTAGGGCACTTCGAAATTTTAACATCCAAAGATGTATCTGTTGTAAAGATTTGAAATTTTCAAAGAATATTAAACAAACTCGTCACCCCTTTTAAAAAAGGAAAGGTTATATTTACATGTATAAATGTGCAAGAAAAAAGGACTTTGCAATATTGATGGTGTAGAGAGTCCGTAATAAAGAGCAAATGGCAGCCAAGGCAGATTAAATCTTCATTTTATTTCAGTAATCATGTTGCAGCCACAAACAACTTGGCACATTATTTGTGCCTATTTCAAAACGTTTACGTTTTTGATAGATTTTAGATAAGAAGAGAGCATCAGAATGCAGTCCAGCTAAGCCGAAGAGTAGAAAATGAGTGCGCTATGTTTAGGATGACATCTTACTTCAGATTGCTTTAGTTTTGGTTCTCAATACATTTTGATTGGATAATTAATGCTGCTGTAAATCTATTATTGGCTGTTTGAGTTATAGTTCCATTTATATAATCAGAACTACGTAAGAATCATATGACATGGATTAGTCTCGAAATGACATAGTGCAAAGAAAATTGTTATTTTTAGAATAGAGAAGAGAAATTAATTTACGCAGCTAATTTAAATTATGAATTATCTTTTATATTTTCTTTATTTTTCTTACATATATATATATATATATATATATATATATATATACATTACCGCATATTTTCTAGAGTTTGCCATGCTTTTACACAAACTATTCCCTGATAAACTACCGAGCTCAAATTTTGCATGCATAGTCATGGTAGATGACAGTAGAATGTGGCTAAGCGATTTTTCAAAATCTGGTTTTATTTTTTTAATTTAATGTATTTTTCGAGCATAATTTCGTTTTATAATCAAGCTAAAACTCTCAGAATTTGCACCATCGAATAGATCGAAACTTCACACCATCGAATAGAGCGAAAACAATCTTTTTAATGAAGTTTATATGAGATTTGAATGTAATTTCTGATTTTAGACGAAATTACTTTTCTTCATTTTCGATCATTTGTCATAACAAAATTGTCAAGAGTAAAATATCGATTATTCATTGTTGAGAAATGATTTTTTCGTCGAATAATTTGATTGGTAGCGTATCATCGAGACTAAAAAAATGGAAATAAAAAGGTAAGAATAAAAAGTTTTCAGAAAATAAACTTTAAATTAAAACTATAAAATAAGTAATAAACTAAAAGGAGAAAATGACTTATCACGCATTTTAATAAAAAGAAGTGATTAAATAATTCTCTTTGCAAAGTTCATCAACAATTTTACATCACCAGTAATAAAAAAGTATCCCCTTCGATACATTTATAAAACTAATGACTTATATTTTTGACAATACAATTGGATTATTCAATTTAATTCTTTAAACGTCCATTTTTTATTACTTGTGATATAATTATTGATGAATTGTGTAAAGAGAATTATTTGATCTCTTGTTTCCACTAAACTGCATGATAATTTTTTCTCCTTTTAATACACTTATTATATTATGAATTTAATGTAAAAGCTTATTTTATAAAGATTTCTTAAACTTTTTATTTTAAATTGATATTGAAGTTGATTATAAAATATTTTATTCCACCCTTTATTTTGGTTATACGGGCTAAGAACTCTTATACGTTTATGAAAAACCATTTGATATGTGTGATTTCCAAGTATATGTTCCGTTCTTTTGTCGTGAAACTAGAATACTAACTGTAAATGTGTCTCCTTATAGTACGGATTTGTAAACCACGCCCTTGAGCTTCTTATTGTTCGAAACTACGGTGAAGAAACATGGGACCAAATAAAGTAAGTACCATTTATTCTTTTCCTTAAAATATGAAACCTAAATCTAGCCATTATTATTTTAAAACAATGCAAAATTTTTAAGTTTTGGCGTAATTGTTTATTGAATACAATATTTCTTTGCAACGCGTTCTTACATTTCAAAGACAAAAACACTTCGATAACTCTCGATTTTAAATTTATGAATAGCAAACAGTACGCAAACATATTTGGAGAATAATTGTTAACATGAAAAAGAGTGTTCTGTTAAACAAATTTACATTATATAGATTTTGACATCAGAAACTGCTTTTGGGGATTCTGTCAAATTATTTTATCATTATAACAGGGTAAATTTCGTTTCAGCACTTTTGAAATTGGCATACGAGACCATAATATTCTAAGATGAAATAAAAAATATAATTGTCTTTCTGACGTGAGGACAGTGTGAAAGCTCAGTCTGAAATGGGTTGCGCTTCGCATTTCCATTTCTTTTATAAAATCAATCATCTGAAATTTAATGTTTAAAGATCATGAGAGGTTTGCTCTTTCAGAGAAAGCAATTTGCTATCCTAGACAGAACTTCTCCTAACCTCGCTCTGAATCGGGCATCTTTGATGCTGGAATTTCTGAATTTGGAAATATTTTTCATATGAATTTCGCTTAATTTTAAATTCATAAATTCGAAAAGAGTCTTATGGATTTTTAAGGTGCTTCTTATTAATTCTAAGACATTACTATGATTTCTTGCTTTGATTTCAGGCTAAAATACAGATTAAATTAGAGTTTAAATCATAGACACGTTTCCTAGTGACACATTTGTCTGCAATCAGTATATATTTCCCATGTTAGAGTATTATATGCTTCGTGGTCATACTTTGGCCATTTTAATACATTTCTTCAATATATGAGACTAAATAATTTTATTGTTTAAAAGTTCAAGTGAAAGATTTATTAAAATCATGATTTTGCAGAAAAGAAGCCGAAATCGTGATGGAAGGTCAGTTTCTAGTTCGCATTATTTACGATGATGAAATTACATATCAAATTGTCCATGCTGCCGAAAAGTGCCTTGGTAAGTTTCCTAATATTCACTTATTTAATTTTTTTTCAGTTATTTTCAGATGGCAGTTAATTTTTTTTTTTCAGATGGCAGTTATAGGCAGTTTATTTTCTTTTAAAGAAAAAACATTAACTGTTCTATATAACGTAATTGTATTAGATGAGAAGAATGGCATCAATAACTGAGATTTATTATTTTAGGGTTGCATAAGAATTTGCAAATTATCAGAATAAATATAATTTAGAATTATATTTTATTATCATTATTTCTTTTATTAATTAACTTTCTATTTTAATTACTTTTATTTTACGTGGTTGGCATGAAGATGTGTATAGCTTGTTCTCTATGCTCCTGAAAATAGCCTTTCTTTATGTTCAAAGCTAAGAAAATGCAACCAAAGTCAAGGGCATTATCACAGTCATTGAACATTCAAGAAGGCCCAGAATAATCACATTCGTCCCTAATAATTTGCTGTCATAATTATTGTGGGGAACCAAATAAATTGTATCAAAGATTGGTATTTAATATGAAACCAAAAAAGGACAATAAAAAGTGTATTCCTTTGGCAGCCAAATCCATCAGACATGTTTCATATCAAAGAGCAAAGGTACTTGATTAATGCAAAAGATGAATTCAAAAGATAATCTAAATTTACAATCTCATTTTCATTTCGCGCAACATTGAAATTGTATTACAAAACTATTGAATTAAATACATTCGATGGTTTTCTGTCAAGAGCATAAATTTCCTGTTTTTGTAAAACATACATTTGTATGTTACCGTGAAAGACCGAAATTGGAGAATGTCGACTTTCACCGGAGAATATCAACATTCACCAAATACGTCGGTGAAAGACCGAATATTTTCACTACATTCTTGTATATTCGGACCCTCACCGGTGTATGTCGACAATCACAGATATGCTCTGGTGAAAGTCGAAAAGAGAGGTCATAAAGTGCCATAATAGTTTAAGTTCTTGCAATAAATAAGATTTGAATCACATAATTTAGTAAGTTTTTTATTAATGTTATTTTATTTTCTCATTTAGAACGTACTATATAATTAAGTAAGTTTTTAACTTCTATTATTTTCCTTTCTCATTTTAAATGTATTGTGTGTTTTAGGTTCTCATGTTCTTAAGTTCTTATTTCAAGTTTCAAGTGCGTTTATTCGCGACTGAATTACGGAAAAGAAAATACAATATTGTTATTATGTTCAACATTCACCATTAGTACGTGGTGAATGTCGAATTGACCGGTGTAAGTCAGTAATAAGAGTATTTGGAAAATATTTCGGACATACACCAAGAGACTATGTGAATGTTGACATTCACCGGTGAAAGTCGACATTCTCCAGATTTCGGTGTTTCACCGTAACATATGTTATTCATGATAAAACATAAAACATTATTCTCAAAATGATTATAGCAAGCATGTTAGAGTTTAGAATGCTTAGGATTTTTTCAACTTAGTATATTGCAAAGTTATTCAAAACATTACCCCGTTTTAATGCTGTTGTCCAGTGTGATCCAACCTTTAGTTACCCGACGGCCAATCAAACGTTCGTATAGGAGAGTGAGGGCCAATCAAACGTTAGTATAGGAGAGTGAGGGCCAGAGGCATTAAAGAAAGAAAAAGAATTACATATAAATCAATAGTTTAATACATCTTTAGGAATGAAAGAAATTGTCACCTGATGGACAGCTTTGCCAATGTCAGCGGTTTCCCGCTAAATCTACGATTTTGTATTCCCTGCAGCGCAGGTTCGCCAGCTGGTTCCCATCCTAGCTACTGCTTTACACTGCTTGTTTTTCACAAATTCAGTTTATTCTGTTTATTATTATTTAAAGCAGTAAAAAGGGTTTTTTTTTATGTTTTCCTAAATATTTAAGTAACATTTTTGTCTCCAGTTAGAAGGGCAAGTGCCAAAAAATTAATAAGAGGGACGCGGATTGGACCACAACTGCTGTTGTCTATTAGCACGATGTCACTAATCAGAACAAATTACTAACATATGCTTTTATATTATATTCTTCTTGATTCAAATCTAAATAAAAAGTTATTTTCTCAGTAAAACTCTTGGATGGCTTGCTTTAAGTTCGTGGAAACTTGAGTTTTAAATTTGACAATGCTTAAATTGTTAACTTTCTAAGAAAATGGTTATAAATTCTATAATATTGTGTCTATTTAAATATTGCAGAAAATATATCTAGAACACTTCTTAAAATATAACATATACCAGCGCTAGCAAGCTGAATGTTTCAACAAGCTTTATTACCCACTACTCTTGCTGTGAAGAACAAGATAATATTTATTGAATACTGATTATCTGTTGCATAAGAAACTGTGAATAAAATGTTATAATAACTTCTGTCTTATCTTCGATTTTTTTCTTTTTAAAAGCCGCTTCAGAGAAATAAACCATGAATGGTTTATTGCCACGTCTTTGGGTTTGAGATCGAATACCAGATAAGGTATGTTGGTTTGCGATTGTAGTGTCTCTTTGAAATGTGGGCACATAAAATGTACCGATTAGAAAGAACTTTCGAGAGACTATTTATAGCAGAAAAGCGGTATCAAGAAGCTGGGATTCCAAGTCCTGCTGTGCTCTTCATCAAAACTGAGAAGGATCTTACATAGATGCCCTACTACGCTTTGTCTTAATTGTTTAAACTAATCCAATCCAATTTCTTTTCAAAGAGCTTTGAAAATATATGGAAGTACAACATACGTTAAGTACAGGATCTTGCCGATTATTGGAAATATGCCTATTATACGATCTTCTTAAACATGCTGAAGAGTAGCCAATACTATTACTTATTTAATAAAATATATTCAATATAATACAATTTTCTTTTTAGAAATCTATAAAAATTTCAGGTTAATAAACCATAATACGAAGATTATATTCAAAATGTTGCCGAAATATGAAAATATACTTATTCTCCAATGTTCGCAAAATCTAAAAGTTAATCAACACCTTTACCCCCTTCAGTCAAACTTTATCAATTTAGCAGGTTATACTCTAACGGACAGCATCTCAAAGTGTATTACAGGATAGACAAGAGAAACACATTGTCTGTCAATCATTTCGCAAATGTAATACATGAAAGCCATTGTATATCTAATAATACGTGGCTTTCAATTTCCCCTTTTGATGTCTGAAACAATTTATTTAGCAGACAAATAAACTAAAAGGTAATTATATTTCACTGTCTTTTACTTTGAATAGTTAATGTGTACATAATAAAATTAAAATTCTTTTGCAAGAGTTTTCTTAAGTTTAATTTTGTTAGCCTCTTTGAACTGTGACATCTGTAGATCTGCAGACTGATCCGGAAGGTAAGAGTTCTGAGAAAGCGTAGCCAAGTTAGATACTAAACATGAAATTAAACATTATGTGTGTACAACTTCAAAAAATACCTGATTAAATGCGAGTTTACAAAAAACTAAAAAGGTCAGTAAATAAAGTATTTTCTCAGCACGAGAAAAATTATTATGATTCAGCTCTTCAGGTAGTGACAAACGAAGCTAGGTCAAAATCTATTATTTTCCGATTTGTGACCCGCGGTTCCCATCCATCAGCAGAAAGCGAATCATTGAAGTAAAAATTATAACTATTCCGTGCCACCACAACCCCACAGCTTCTTCAATTTTTTTGGTTTGTTTCTAATAATCAGTAACACAAAGAAGTTTATCTTTGTCCCTAACATAACCCAAAATATTGCATTAGTTAAACTTTAAAGCAGTTTTTGCAGTTGGACAAATATTGTTGATCAAAGTAATACGCATGTTATCACTGATATGTAAATGACTTCCTTTATTTTAAACAAGAGGGGAAGCTTACTACTTAATTAGCTGCTTCTATCAACCACTCGCCTCCAAAGTTACTTTTACTGTCATGGCTAGTTATCTCCCTTTTGTTTAACAGAAAGTGGAACCAAGAACTAATACTAAAGGTAAAATATTAATTTTATTTTCTCGCAGCTAGTGGGTTAACTTAAAGTAATGTAACACAAAATTTAAGTCTTCTTGACTTATAGCTACTAGATGGAAAAATTCAACAATTTTGTAGAGTCATTAGAATTTTTGATGCTGGAGATGTGATAAATTAGCAATGTCCTCGTCGGGTTTCGAACATAGACCTCTCGAATACGCACCGAGTGTGCTACCGTTAAACCACGAAGGTATGCAGAAGTGAGGAAGAACATACCTTGTAGAGACATTAGGTATTTTTTGGAAGCAGGCAAGATGGAAAATTAGCAACCACCTTCGCCGGGAATCGAACCGCGGACCTCTGGAATTTCGGCCCAGCGTGCAGAACCACTACACCACGAAGGCATGCTAGGAAGGTGGGAGAAATACCTTGTAACCTTATCTACTCCTCCTTTTAAAAGACGACTGGGGATTAGGGGACCCAAATCTCTAAATTCTGGTGGTGAAGAATCATCACCCACCACTTTTTAGTTTGGACGTCACTGTCGAGTCATTAGATTTTTTGGATGCTGGGGAAGTGAAAACTGAGCAATGCTCTCACCGGGACTCGAATACACGCCGAGTGTGCTACCTTTATACCACGAAGGTGTGTAGAAAGAAAGGAAACATACCTCATAAATTAACTTGCTACAATCCCAGTGCTCCTACTCGAAGCTTCAACATCGATCTAAACTCTACTGCAGTTCATATTTACCAAAGCCTTGCCTAATTTCAGGCGAACAAATTTAATTTAATCTTCGGCTTTCTCTCTAATCAGGCAAGCAGACGTCAGAAGCAATAGTTAAGTCTCTACTATAAGTCATGCGATTCTTCCTCTCAGTTTAAACTACGCTTCTCCCCCTAAAATTTACATAAACCTCTATACTGAGAGAGTAAGTGACGAAACGAAGCACAGAGATAAAAATCAACTTAAATGAAATGTCTTATGTTTGCTTTTAACTGAGACGGGTTGGAAAATCCATGTTCGTACAGATGGTAAGTTGTACGAAAAAAATATTTATCACAAGATAAACTTTG